CCTAGTGAAAGGTTGTTCACTGGGGTGGAGCTCTTCCCCAGGCTCCACCCCTTCTGCCCTCACCAGTCCAGAAGATTTCCCTGTGGGGAAACCCAGTCAGGGGCACCAAGTTGGCTGAAGCCATTCCTCTCATTTCAACACCTCCTGTGAGCAAAGCAGGGTGGCAGGAGGACAGCAAAGGGAGTTAAGGCTGCTTCATGTACCTGCCATCTTCCACACGAGGAGCTCACTGCCGGAAGAGGAATTCCAGTGCCCTCCATGGCACCAGTGACCCTACACCAAGCACAGCTCTGACACAGCTCCAGCAACACCCCAGGAGCCATCAGATCTCTGAGCTGGGCAGACATCACCCAAGAGAAGGTGGAAATCAAGAAGCAGGAAACCTATGGCCAGTCATAGCACCTAGAATGGTACCTGGGCTATGAATGAAGGATCCTAACAGAGGGATTTAATTTCCAGCCTTGTTGCATGAAGGCAGCTCCCATCTCACTGGTTTGCTCATTCTATACCTTCCTAATGGAACAAACATGGGATCTTTTTAGATCCATTTCCCTCTATCACTCCTACCCAATCCATTCACGCCCCTCAGACCTCTCACTATATTTCTTTATTTTCTCCTGTCTTTATCTCATACCTCAGTGTCTATTTTAAGACAAAATGACCATGTTTAAGTCAGGACTGGGACATAATTCTGATTTATACAACACTATTATAATACTTCCAGTATTAGTCTGTATTTTTTTCCCTAATACAGCCTGACACCTTACACACAGGCACTGACCATGACTGCAGATTGAAGAGACATTTTCACTGAGCCATCTAGGAAAATGCCAGGATCTTTATCTAACTAATCTCTTCCACACCATTTATGTAACCTCTTTCCTCATGCATTATTTTCCTGCTCTTGTCTACTCTGCAGCTGGGCTGCCAGACAACTCACTCAACATTCTCTTGCAATCCTTGTGGTTTCCTGTCATCTCAATACACGTAAGAGCTGCTGTGTCCTGCTAATGCACCAAACAAGACTGTGGTTTAAATATCCAAACACTTTTTGGGAAAAAAAAAGAGGTTATTTAGTGGCTTACTGCAGTAGCATGACTAAAACATCAATGTTTCTGTGGACAGTGGTACAAAGACCTCTAAAGCTGCTTTGTCTCCCTGAAACCTTATTTCCTGGATGTCTAAAAAAAGCCTAAGAATAGTAATGGTCTTTTTCATTATTTATCTTAGGAATTGAATTAAAAAGAAGGGAAAAGATCACTACAGGCTTTTCCCTCTTTCCTTCCACTTTGTATCTGGTTGAGGAGACAGAATCACAGACAGGTTGATGTTGGAGGGGACATCTGGAGGTCAGAGTGACCAACAACCAAGACCATGTCTAGATGGCTCTTGAAAACCTCCAGATGAGAGACTCTAAAACCATTTGCACTCCTTGGTTCCCTGGGTTGGTTTTGTTTTTGCTTTTTTTCCAGCATGTTCCCTTGAATTCCAGCAAATCCCTTGAAGTTCCCTTCTCTGACCCTCATGCTGCTCAGGGCGGCCCCATCATCTTCCTGGGGGGATGAATAGGTCACACAGTAATTTAGGGAGATGAAGCTTCCAGAAACACTGGACATGGTCCTTGCTCCTTCAGACAACAGAAGTCCAGCAAGACCTTGTGAAAAGCTGTGCTATGACTGACAACCACGTGGGACATTGGTCAAAGCATCACAAGATCATTTGGTCTTGCTGTGCTCTGTGCAGCAAATGTCACCCCAGGAGAGGGAAAATCACAATTTGTTGTTGTAGGAGCTCAGAGTAAAGTCTGTTTATACTTGTATCAAAAACTACAGGGGTGCCCAATTACTTTTATCTTTCTTCAGGAGGAATAACAAAGAGATTGTCAAATTGCTGAGAAAATCAAGGGCTTATTCAACTTTCTGCCCAATTCCCCTTTCAGTGCTGTTACAACATTCATGTTACACGTTGCATAATGAGACACAGCTACCTCATTAGCTCCTGGATCCCCTACACACAGCAGCCCTGCCACACAAATACCCAGGGATGCCTGAGAATCCTCCAGTGTCTTACTTAACCAAGAATAAATTGTGTTGTGGGAACTTGGGGGGACATCTATATGACAGAAGCAACACAAGAAGGCTGCAGAAAGTCAGGAATTGGCAGGAAAATGAAAGGTGGTGGTTAAAATGAGTAAGAGTTTTCACCTTGAAAAGCAAAAGTTTCTGAGTTTCCTTAGAGCAAAAACTGGAGCTCCTGTTCAGCTGTTTGAGACAGCAAAAGCATTCACCCTTTCTTAATTCTCCTCACATGGCTACCTGCTGAGTCCAGCACAAGCCCTCTGCTGCAGAACAGTGTCAGCCTCTCCAGACTGCAGCAGCTGCTCCTTTCCTCCAGCCTCTCTCTTGCTCTTTGCCAAACAAGGCACATAGCAGGACTTGGCTTTTTAAAAGAGACAAGGTCACAACACAGAAAAATAGAGATCCTGTGACTGCAAATAATTTGGAGGTGGGTTTAAAAAAAAGAAAAAGGACTTCTTTTTCACTCTGGAACTCAGTGTTTCAAGATGGCAGGAAAGGCAAATGTCTAGTGTGGGAATCCTAAGGGAAAAATCAGGATTTCCTGATTATCAAGATAACTACATGGGATAGAACAATCACTGTGTACTAGTTCTATTTCTTACACACCTTCTGTAAGCACCTGGTCCTGGTCATGGTCACCAACAGTCTCCCTGGCTGGTTGGTGCTTGGTCTGCCTCACTGTTACACTCATTTGAGCCATGGGTTCACTGATTAATTCCTGATGCCTGGTCCAAATTCTTTGTACTCAGAAGTTTTGTTTTCTCCTGCAGCAGGTCAGAAAGCAACATGTATTTTGTGTGCTTTATAGCAGAGTTTCACACAGCTCCATTATGAAGATCTGTTCCATCAGATCCAGATACAGATGCTGCTACCAGACACCTCCTGAGTCACACCTAGGGCTCAGGCCTGTGTGAAGATGCCACTCTGACCTGAAGACTAGAAGGAGCTAATTAAACTTGGAGAACCACTTGCTTTAGACAGAGAAATGCCAGGAGGACATGCAACACCTCCATCCTGTGATGAACACTGCAAGGAACATCCGCAGCTCCTGCAGGAGCCTGTTCATACCCTGGTGCTCCTCACAGGAGCTGCTTGATAATACATCTTGTTTCCTGGCAGGTTGGCTTCTGAGAAGCCCTAATTGGCAGCCCCCATCTCAGAGCTGCTGGCTGGAGCAGAGAGCAGAGCTGCTGAGCCTGCTGCTGAGCAGCTGAGTCGAGGGCTCTCTCTCCTGGCAGAAAGCACGATTGCATGGCTGGATCTGCTCCTTGGCTCAGCTGCTGCTCCAGAAACAACCCCAGTGCTTCTTCTGCTCCATCTCTGGCTGTCCTCTTCATTCCCCTTTGCAACACACGCTGGCAGCTGCCACAGGTGACACTTCCCCCTATTTTGGCCACAAGCAGAAGAGATATACTTAAATTTATTTACTTTTTTTCCTCTTGGAAGCAGCCAGTTCGAGAATTCTTGTGCTACTAGGAATTTTTAATTCTATAGTCCTTGGGGAGTGCAGCTAGACACCTGAACTTACAGACCTGCACCAGACTGAGAAGCTCTACATTTTTCCTGGTTCATCCACAGTTTGCATGGAAGGAAAGCTCTGAATGGGGAGCAGGTTACTTCAGTATCACAGTAGGACTCAGGGCAGGCCAGTGCAGCATTCAGCCACCCCTCAGCTGAAGGGTGGGCAGAGGGGGAAGGAGCCACTTCACCTGCATGGCCAGCACCCGTTGGATATCTAGGGCAGGGAACCCCACTCCTGATTAACACCCAAGATGACATTTTTCCACCCAAGGATGTAAAACAGCCATCACACTGCCCTGAATGAGCAGCTGGTGGGTCTGATTTTATCTTCAGAAAGCTGGAGAGCATACATGGCATAGAACAGCAGTTCACTCACTGTTCAACTCACTGTTGCCACCAGACATATTTTCTCTGCCTTTTTCAGGCTGACAGTTGGACTTGATGGTCATAGAGGTCTTTTCCAACCTTCATGATTCTATGATTCTATGTTTCTTTACTTTCTGCATTACTAAGGGTATTTGCCTGCAGTGTGGAGTTTTTTGCTTAGCTTCTCTCCTGCTCCTGCCCATTATATTTCTCCATCCTACATTACATCCTGATCAGTTGCTTCAGAGCTGACAGTGATGTCACAATAAAACAGCAGCAAGGAATAGTGGCAGAAGCAAATGAATCAGCAAAGAACAAAAAATTAAGAGTTTTGTGGCAATGTTATCAGAAGAAACATAAAGAGGAAAATGGACAAACTAGCAACAGGAGCAGGACTCTTGGAGGCTTTCAGCTAGTTCAGAGCTCCATCTGATCCAAGGTGAAATCTAGTTCCCGTTTAAATCTTCTATAATTTTAATGCTGATGTCACTAGGGTAGGATTTCATCTCTACTATTCATTATGGAAGAGAGAATCAGAAATCATGGCAGGCACTGACACACAGCATGACCTTTGGCGGGTCTCGTCCCCTCTCTCCACTTCAGCTTCTCCATCTATGAAACTAGGGAAAAGTCTTCATCTCATGATGTTTCCGTGACATTTCCTGAGATTCTTTCAAGTCCCACACTGAGTCAGAGTTGTCCTTACTGTCAGCTGGGGGTTCATGAAGACAGAGTTTGTGTATGAAGAACGTAACCTTTACTTTGGCTCCCTTAGGGGCGAGATGCACCAGTTGTCCCTTAATTAAATCAGTCAGGTCCCTGGCAGTTTAACCTTTCCAGCTCTGAAGGAAACAAACCCTATGTGGCTTGTGTGATCTCGGGAAGAACAGGAAGAAGGGGAGGAGGGAGCTGGTATTTCCTTCTCCTTTAACTTTAGAAGCACGAAAACTCCTTTCCCAACCCACCCTGTTCCACAAGGAGTGCTAAGCACCCCAGCACCCCAGCTCTGCCTCTGCCCTCCTCTCATCCTCCTAGGTGGCGATCGTGGTGACGGATGGGCGTCCCCAGGATGGAGTGCAGGACGTGGCAGCGAGGGCCAGAGCAGCTGGCATCGAGCTCTTTGCCATCGGGGTGGGCCGGGTGGACATGCACACGCTGAGGCACATCGCCAGCCAGCCCCTCGACGACCACGTCGACTACGTGGAGAGCTACAGCGTTATAGAGAAGCTGACCCACAAGTTTCAAGAAGCTTTCTGTGGTGAGTCCTTTCACGTGGGATCGTCCTTCATCCCTCTGCTTCTTTGTTCCAAGGGCTGGGGTCTGCGGGAGCACGGAGCAGTGTGGAAGACAGATGCTCTTTGAAGTGGCCGTTTAAGAATTTTGGGTTTTGTTTAAGGAATGTCAGGTTTTAGTTAAAGAAGTCTCCAGATTTTACTGGCACAGAAAAGTTGGTAAACATGACCCTTGAGGCACTGAAAAAGAACCTGGAGCACATGATCTTTATGTAACTAAAATCATTGTCCTTATGCTTAAGCCCATCTGGGCAGCTCTGAGGATCTGGCTTGTCATTTCCTCCACCAGTCTTGTCTTCTGAATGCCTAGATAAGCAAAGGATGGTTTCACTTCCCTGCTAGAGGCTGAAGGAAAATTCCCACTGCCTTTGCCCAACGATGCTGTTGTTTTTGCAAGCCTTGTGAGGCACAAAGCTCTGCTGGCTGGTGCAGTGTCTAATCCCTTTCTACACAGCATATAAAAAGAGCCTGACTACCCTACAAACACATATTCCCTCCTACACGAACCAGTGAATGAAGTGAGAAATCTTTATTACTTTCAAATGTACCCACAAGACTGTAGGAGGTGATCTATAAATATCCATTTTATGTGTCAGCAAGAGGGCCTGGGGGTTTCACACACCCATCCCATGGAAGGGCAGACGTGTGGCAACACTTTTTAAAAGGTGTGATACACCACGGTGCCTACGGCGAGGTGCTGCAAACACATCCACCCAGATGGACTTGTAAAACTCCCCGAGACCAATCTCTCCAAGAGGTGTAAAAATTCACAATTCAGCTTCCAGGCTGAAAATGATGGGGCTGAGCAGCTTTTTGTCAAGGAAAATTTCCTCCTCTGTAGGAAGGAGGAAAATTAAAAAAAAAAATAGAGAGAGTGAGTCATGTATTATAATCAGGTGTCACAGCACTAGAAGCTCATGAAAGAGAGGAAAAATACTTCATACTTTGAAGGGGAGATAGAGACAAAATTTGAGAAGGTGGAATCCACACCATGAATATCTGTGGGAGTTTGTGTTGGCTGCTCTGGAGTCAGGAGCCAGCCAGAGACAGAGAGGCCTGACAATGTGTTTTGAAGTTCTGGCACTGGTGTCATTCAAAAAGATAAAGAGGAAAAAAAATCCTTTCTGTGCCTTGCTTTTCAAATTGGTCATATGGAGCTGACAAAGCTCTCCCTATGGTAAAAACCCCCAGAGATGGAGCCAAGGGAAGCACTGTGCTAAGGATTGTTCCAGCTACCAGAGAATAGCACCAGACCAACTGCCAAGTGGGCTGTTCTCGTGCTCTGCAAGCAGCTGCACAAACCCCTCCTTGGAGATGTACCCAGACACCACCTGCCCTTGCCAAGCACCGTTTGTGGGTCCTGGCAGCACCGTCCAAGCTGTTTCCCATAATGCTCAACAAACACATGGGGAAAAGGGAGACCTTTGGTGACCCAGCCACGAGTTAGATGAAGAAGAGCTCAGAGAACTGGATGTGAGAGCCCAGTGTTACAGCCCTCTGCATGCTCAGTAATATTCCTAGTGATAGGAGCGACATAGAAGCTGGAAAGATCTACCTGGCACAATATTTGTTTTGGCAGAATATCCAGACACATGAATTGGGAAGGCCAGAAGGAACACAAAATACATGCAGAGCTTGAAATAATGAATAGAAGCCCCTTAACTTTGAGAGTCTTTGTGCCACCTCCCATCATTCTGATAGAACCCAGTGCTCATTTTTCTGCACAGATTGCCCTGGTTATTTGTAGAAGAATTTGCTTCCACCAGATTTGTTTACTCTGGAGTTTGTTTTCCATCCTCATTGCTGTCGCTGTGACAGTGTTGTCAGTCACTGAACGCTGCTGGCTCAGACTGCTGCAATTCAGCTTCTGTTTGCTCAGCATCTCAGGAGTCAAACCCAGGTTAAGATCAGCAGGCAGAAATGTTTATAGAGAGTGGATCTGAAAGCTGCATGTGCAGGGGTAGCTCCGAAGTGAATTCCAAGTCTGTGTGCACATGAATCCCGTCCAGAAAAGACAACTGCACATGGAGTGAAACCACTAATCATAATTGGTCTACATAGCTGGAAAAAAGGGGTATTGGCCAGCCCAGATGGTAGGTTGGAAACCAAATCTCATCCAGTTGCTTTGGAGAGTGAAGTATGTTGTGATATGCTCAACAGACAGATGGTTTCTGTCCTCAGTACGGAGGCTATTTCCAGTCCTGGCTGTGCCTTGGAGTCAGGAGATTTGGGAAAATTTCTCCTTGCCTCCCAGATCTCAGTGACTATCCATGAGTAATGACCTCAGCTGCTCTTCCTGCTGCAGAGCAGATTCAGTTATCCCCGAGCGTATGGGACAAGCTTTGTGCACGGGCTGGGTGGGGTCTGGGCTGAGAACCATGGGCACGGTTTCTGATGGGAATCTGCACCTTTGCTTCCAGTGGTGTCAGACCTGTGTGCCACTGGGGACCACGACTGCGAGCAGATCTGTGTCAGCAGCCCAGGAGCCTACACGTGTGCTTGCAAAGAGGGCTTCACGCTGAACAGCGATGGGAAGACCTGCAGTGGTACGTAGTGGTTTTCATTTGCACTGAGCTGAGCTGTGACCTGCCGTGGAATGGTGGGGAGAGAACTGAGAGGTTAGATGTGCTCTGTTCAGAAAAAGCAGATGAGGAAGCCATGCACTTATCACCATCATTTTGAACTATTATTAACCATTATTATTGAATTATTTTGAAAACATCAGTGTGAGCAACTAGAGCTGTTGAGTTTTGATGGATTAAACCTATTCCATTAGGGATAAAATTGCATTAGCATTATATTTTCCTACACAATTCATTGAGGTCTTAGTAGCTGTCTTTCCCTCTCCTCATCTTTTGCCTCAGCTTGCAGTGGTGGGTTAGGATCTGCTCTGGATCTCGTTTTCCTGATCGATGGCTCCAAGAGCGTGCGGCCTGAGAACTTTGAGCTGGTGAAGAAATTCATCAACCAAATTGTGGACTCGCTGGAGGTGTCAGACAAACAGGCTCAAGTTGGCCTGGTTCAGTACTCCAGTTCTGTCAGACAGGAGTTTCCACTGGGGCAGTTCAAGAACAAGAAGGATATCAAAGCAGCAGTCAAGAAAATGGCCTACATGGAGAAAGGAACCATGACGGGCCAGGCTCTGAAGTACCTCATTGACAGTTCCTTTTCCATCATCAATGGAGCTAGGCCTGGGGTGCCCAAGGTGGGCATAGTCTTCACTGATGGACGGTCACAAGATTACATCACTGATGCTGCTAAGAAAGCCAAAGACTTAGGTAGGTCTCCTGAATTCTCAGTGGCTTGTTTCTCCCTTGGACCAGGTACTGCATCTGGTGTCAGCCTAGGTATGACTCTTGCCCTGGAGAAATGTCTCTTAGGATAGAAACATTGCTACAGAGTGCCTTCATGGAGATGTTGCCTTGAATGCTCATAAAGAACTCCAGCAACTCTGGCCAGGGTTCAGACAAATCTTGGTTTGCCAGCAGCTGGTTTTTGTTCCCACAGCCCCTTTGTGTCTTTGATCGAAGCCTGCTGGAGGTCTCTCTGCTGGGCAGGTTGGAGCTGATGTGGGATGTATGCTGGTCTGGCATGCTTCACACAAATGTGAAGGAAGCCACAGGGAGAAGTTGAGGATTTGTCTGCTGTTGGTATTGAAAGTCAGGTCAGCACCAGTTGCACTCGTGGTGAGGCCAAGGCAACCATCAGAGAGCCCCTGGGAGAAGAACAGGAGTTGTATGACCAAGTGTGGCTTGGCTGGATCAGCCTTAAGGCCTGGAAATGAAAAAGAAATAAGGCAATAAACAAAGCAGAAACCCAGATTAAGGCAGTAACCTTGGAGTCCCTGTCCAGGTCCCAGATACATCCAGACACACTAAATAAGAAACTTTCTTCAGCTTCTGCTGAAACATTAAATGTGCACAGTAGCTACATATTGATGTGTTTATATGTCTAAACACCACGCAGTGTAAATATCTTGAGATCTGCCCCTGTGCTGACCTGCTGACTGTCACGTCTGAGTTAAATGATGCAGCCCGTGTGAATACACTCATGAATTGCCAACTCCTGTATTTCCTTTTAGCTTCAGCCTCAACCACTAGATGGGACTAAGGGCTAGCACATAATAATAAAGGTCAGGCACCAGCTGATGAAAAGCTGATGTGTACAAAGCAAGTTGACATGTTATGTGGATGTTCAGCTCCTGCAAAGCAAAGAGTCTTTATAAACTGTATCTGTTAGAATTTATTCCTCTGAGATTATAAAACTTGGTGCCTTGTTTCTTCCTCCTCCCTTGTCCCTACACAGAGATCTCCAGCACAATTTATTTCTGAGGGATAGATAATGAGAAGTTTATAACTAGACACCAAGCATGTTCCTTGAGTTGAACTTGGAAAAAACCACAAGTATTGGACACAATCAGAGGTAGAAAGGGAAGGCAAAAAGGGGAAGGGGGGGAAACATTACCAGTGTCTAGACATGGACGAGTAGAGACAAATATTTCAAAACAGAGGTTAACTGGTGTCACCATTCAAGTCAACAGGAAAACTGCAGTTCAGGTCAGTAGAAACAGGTCTAAGCCAGAAGTGGGCAATCAGTCTCTTGGCAGGGGAGCATAGTACCTGGACACATCCTTAGCTCACAGCATGGCTTGCTCTTGACAGACTGTATGAGCTGAAAGCTTAGAGATTCAGCTCCAGTTTTGCTGCACCACAGGTCTCCATCTAACAGGGGCCTTTGCCACCACA